ATCTTGGAAATCATTAAGAAAGGAATTAAAAACTTAACATAAGGTAAAGTTTGTATAGTTTTTATGTTTTCTGTAATTTTATATATATTTATTGTTTTAATGGATCATGTGAGCCACCCAGAGTTCCCCATTAGAGGGAGATGGGCGGAGATAAATGAATGAATGAATGAATGAGTGAGTAAGTAAGTAAGTAAGTAAGTAAGTAAGTAAGTAAGTAAGTAAATAAGTCTTGAAGTTAGTCTCCTGGTAACTACATGAATGTGTCCATTCAGTTTTCTTCACAACAGTTCAACCATATTTGGCATGACCTTCCTCCAGGATGTCCTTCTGGGTTCCTGAATTCCCAGTCTAGACTACAGCTCTGGTTTTCCCAGGTAGTCTTCCAGCCAGGTAGAACCAAGCCCAACTCCCCTTTTAAGCCTAAATGAGTTTGGCTGGGTGCTACTAACCACTGAAATATTTGGGAAATCTAAGCTGCCAGTATAATACTATTTCTGTAAAATGTATACTGTAACCATCAGGCATGTCTGCAGGGGAGGATTGAAATGTTTCAGGTGGTGACTGCAACTGGTGGTTGAAGCCTTCCCCCTTCTTTATGTATATCTACATGAACCCCCTGCCACAAAGGGGCAGGGCTTCAGTTGCTTGGTTCCGGCTGCCATCTTGACTTTACTGATATCTCCCTGTCTGAGAGATGGAGCTCCAGAAAAGAGATATGCCCTCACTAGGAGCCTCCAAGAGTTGAAAGGGAATGCCTGGCAGGCTAGATCTGATCCTTGAGCTACAGCTTCCTCATTCCTGACTCGGAATGTTGGGTTCCCTGAATTGTCTCATATGCCATTGCTATCTGCCTCATTTTCCCTTGCTTTTTAGAAGTTCTCCTCCTCAGAATGGTGGACCAAACAAGATGCTCCTTTGGCATTAATTACTTTATCCTTTGGAAATAGCAACATGGAATAGGCCAAAAATGCTTCTAAAAGGAGAGAAGGGCTCAGGTTTGCTCAGAAGAGCTGGATAGTGAGAACAGACTATGTTTCTAGCTGTGGAAGGCTGAGCAGGGGAGGATTAAGTTGCTTTCTTGATCAGTGTAGGTACTTAATCTGCTATCTATGAGGGCTACTGTGCCATAATGTCATGATCAAGGTAGGTAGACTAAAGCTGAATGTTTCTCTTTGCGGTATTTATGGTACCTTCCTTCTCCAGCCTACTGATTTTTGCACAAATGCTTTATTTTGTTATTAGACAAGTAAGCAAAAGAACAATTGATCCATCCACACAGAAAATAATATTGAAAGGAGAATATATAGGATTCCAGTAAAGATTATTGTAATATCTGAAGAATGAAAAGAGAAAAGGAGGCTTATTCACTGATTGAATGAATGGATACCCCCTTTCCAGGTATCACATAATGCAAAGCTTGCATTCAGAGTGAAATATGAGAAGGGATTGATGCGGAAAAGCAGATGTTACAAAAGTGACTCAGGTACACCTGGAAAGTGTTCCTGCACATCCTATGAAAGTTGAACAATAGCACTTTCAGTTCCTTTCTCCTGCTGAGTTATGCTTGGGGATAAGAAATAAATCTTTCATTTTAAGGTGAATTTACCTGATCTGTACACCCTGAACCTATAAGCAATCCAAAATCCTGTTTTCTTTTATTCATTTGCAGTTAAAATATACAGCAATATTTACATAGTAGACAAAAGAGTATGCAAAAATGAATAGATTAGGGGAGAATAATATTAAAATGCAGTGTATTAGGGAAACTGCTAACAAAAATGCATATATTTGGTCAAACTGAGCAAAACTGAAACTAATGGATGGCCATGGCTAAGATCCATATTCCTCCAATCTGGGAATTTTCAATGGGACCCTAAATTTGCCCCTATTTTACCTCGCAAGAAGTTTCCTTCCCTCTGCTTATGAATTTCCATTGTATCTGGATTTTTACAATCTGTTCCAAAGTTCTTGCTGTCAGAATGCCAAGTCTTGGCACCTCTCTCATCTCAGATTCTGTCTGTGGCCTGCAAGACAGAAATTAAAAAAGGAATTGACCTGAGATGCTAATGAAGGAACACTTCAGACCAAGATGGTAACTTATGTTAATTAGCACTGAGTGCTTGTCAGACATTGGGCTAATAACTCCCCCTAAAAGGTCAGAGAGTTGCTTTCCTCTTCTGGTGGATTCAAATTAAATAATACTATCATATATCTCTCTCCAGTAGAGAGGAGATGACAGGCAGTTCATAGCAATGGGAACCTGGAGAGGAATTGTTTCTCACTATAACAGCTAATTTATGGGTAAAATGCTTGACCTTCTGAACCTTTTACCCAGCATTATTTTATTCTCCCTTCCCTTCTCCCCAGCTTGAAACTTCTGATTAATCCTAAATATTGTTAGCAGAAATAAAACAATTCATCCACTGTTCATCTAAATAAATCAGGCATTAGGGCTGTCTGAGTATGTTCATGAATATGGAGGCAGTGACAATGTCACACATCACTCCTGCTATCACACCTTGCTAGTGGTTTGCAATGCAATTGACTTTTGGGAATAAGCCATGAATTTGGAACCTTAAGCACAGCCTTGATAGGATAAGAATGTATGAAATTGTTTTGCACCAGGTTAGACTCTTAATCTATCTACCAAGGGTTTGAGGCAGAATGCGGCTTTCTCCAACATTTCTCCTAATCCTATTTTTTTTTTTTTTTTTGAGCAGTGTTCTAAGAACTGACTCTGAACCTGCAGTGTAGGCATTTTGCCATTAAGTAATAGTGCCTCAAAGCAGGGAAGTTTCCTGTTCTTGTAGACATTACACTACCAACTACTTGGTTTTGGGAATGGAAAGATAATACTGTCTGAGGGATAGCTTTGTCAGCCAGAACAACCTTGTGAACATCATCATCCCTTTTCTCTTCTCCATCTCTTCCCCCATGTCTTTCTCCTAGACCTTATCTAGCAATTTATATCTATGCAAAAGCAAAACAATAATTGGAAAGCAGCCCAGAGAAAGAAAACAATGCAATCTCTAAAATGGCAATTATTACATTTTGTGTTACCTGAAACCTTCTGAGAAACAATTGGCAAATCAAAACTCCAACAGGTACATTGGATGAGGCTGCAGGTCTATTAGTGGATAAAGACAGTTGTATATGCCCTGACTGGGCAGATTCTATAGTGGTGAGAGGAGCAATATCTTGTGGATTATCTGGGATACTTTTGTGCTAGTAGAGTGTGAGGAAATGGAGATCCTGCTTCATCAATGGAGCCTGAGGAAATCTGCTACCACCTCTGGCTTGACCCATGTCCTTCCTGGCTCTTCTGTTAATACTTCTTTGAGGGAAGTGTGAGATCACCTGCCTGGAAGGATGTGGCTGTGCACTCTATCCTCAAGCTTTCCTTGGACCCAGTCATTCTTCACAACTTCCACCCCGTCTCCAACGGTCCCTTTCTGGGTAAGGCTGTGGAGAAGGTGATGGTGGTTCAGCTTCAGAGGATTTTGGAAGAAACAGATTACCTAGATCCTTCCCAGTTAGGTTTTAGGCCTGGTCATGGGATAGAAGTGGCATTGCTCACTCTGTTAGACCTATGTCAGGACCTGGATGGTGGTAGTGCACCTGTGTTGGTCTTAGACCTCTGAGCAGTATTTGGTACCATCAACTATGGTATTCTTCTGGAGCAGCAGTTGGGAGTTGAGGGCACTGTTTTTTGGTGATTCTGCTACTACCTCAGTGAGTAGGTCCAGTTGGTGAACCTCTAGAGAGGCTCTGTTGATGGTCCCCCCACTCTGTGAGGTCCATGTGGCATGGTCCAGACAATGGGCCTTTTAAGTGATGGCCCCCACCTTTAGAACATTTTAGCCCTGGAGGTGAGAGTGCCTCCCCCCATTTATGAGGCACCATGTTATTCCAGGGGGCATTCATTCCCTAGTTTGTCCTGGTGCCTGTTGTATGTTTATTTGGACTTCATATTTTGGTTTAAATTGTTATACTGCTTGTATTGGTCACTGCCTAAAGTCCTAGTTGATAAATAGCTTATAAATAGGCTAGCTAGCTAGCTAGCTAGCTAGCTAAATAAATAAATAAATGTTTTTGAAGGAACAGCAGAAATTCCTTTGATCCATAGCAAAATGTCAAGGAAGCCAATTAGCTCTCTCTCTCTTTTTAAAAAGGTATTTCATTGTGTCAAACTAACAGAAAATTGAATATACACTCAACTTTACTAACAAGATACCATTAAAGAAAGTGGGGTGAAAGAGGAGGAGGAGGGGGGGTTGTCTGGTAAATTACACCATAAACAAAACAACCCCTAAATGAAAATCTTCCTATCCTTTATGTCAACAAAGAGGCAATGGAGCTATTGGCAAAATAGGTCAATAATACATTTCTACAAATCAGGTATAGATTCTTCCTTTCAGTGTTGTATAAGCTTCTTCTGTCCATTTCCTCATGTCAGCAGATAAGATTCGCAACGTGGTGGATATAGCTAAGAAGAACATGTGCAGAGCAGACCCTGAGTGCTGTGTCCAATTCTTCCAGGCATCACACTTTAAAAGAGATTCAGACAAACTAGAGAGGTGAAAGGAAGGAAGATTAGAAAGAAAAACCTTGGAAAGGAAGACCTAAAAAAAGAGATGGAACTAACTGGTTATGTTTAGCCTTGAGAAAAGGTGATTGAGGTGAAATGAGATGCCACTTTCTCAAGTTTGTTTATAGAGATGTCACAGAGATGGAAGCCACAACTTGTTCTTTAATGTACATGGTGGTAGGATATGGAATAATGGTCTGATGGTATAGGAAAGTAGAATCCAACTGAATGTTAGGAAAAACTTCAGAGGAATAGCAATTTGCCTGTGAAATTGATTACCAGAAACTGATTACTTCAAGCAGAGGCTCAGCATTTTATTTTATTTTATTTATAAAGGCCTCCTGACTTTGGGCGGCTTGCAGTTAAAATTAAGACCATAAAACTGAGTAAAAAGAACCATGCATGTCTGGAAAACATACAACTATAAAAATATAATGGTTTGATCTTGGTTACTGCACTAAACAGGGAGTTGACTTTGATGGCTTAAATGGCTCCTTCTGACTCTGTGGGAACAATGGGGTGAGAATTCTAACCCATCTGAGAAGCAACAGATTGGGAGAGGTGATCATAAATGAAAAGGAGAATGTTTGCATTTTGTTTTCTGTGATATTTCTGTTTTTCTGTTTTTTGTGTCATGTAATCCATTTGCAACCTAAGTCAAGGGCCTGAGAAATGACATTAGTGCTAGCTAAAGAATGAGTCCCATTTGGAATACTCCTTGGGACAACCAGACATGTATAAAATGCTGGGAATGGCATGATTGTGGCAGTTTAAAATGAATGAATGAATGAATGAATGAATGAATGAATGAATACCTCTAGTGGCTGCTGAGCAGATACTTGCTACGTGTAGCACATGAAATATAAACCTTGAAAGAATTCCCACATAAGTTTCCAAGGAAAATTAGAAATGAGACAAAGACTGCTGTTGATGGAGATCTCTACAACTCATTGGCTGGGTTCATACAACATACTTCTAGTTGCTGGATCTGGATAATAAATTTAACCATAAACTAAACAAACAAGCAGAATTCACGGAACATGGTAAATCACAAGAAAAACCAAGTTTAAGCTTAATCTTAGTATCAGAATCCTTACAATCAATTAACCACCTTATTTGCTAGCTTGCTTGCTTGCTTGAGTTCTGCCATTAGGAGACGTGGGGTGTGTGTGTGTGCTGGAAGGGTCTGGAAGGATGGATGAACGAAATGACCATTAGAGGCATATGGGCTGTTATCAAAGACTGAGGAATGCTCATGGTCGTACCAACAAGCGTGTGTGAGAAGACTTGGAGATTAGGGGGGTGCAAGGGGGAAAGAGAAAGAAGGTAAAAGCAACTTTTGGTGGGTGCGGGCTCAGCCCTAGCAATACTTTGGAACTGTACACTTGTTCTCAATAAACTTTCTTTTGAACCATTACTGGTTGCAAGGAGAGTTACTGAGTTGTGAGTGGCAGATTGTTACACTTAGTATGTTGGAAATGCAGTCAATAGACCTTCCTCAGATCTGATTAAGCTTGTTGCCTGAACACAACACCAATATTTGGCTATGATTGCTTAGTGCCAACATCCTTAGGACTGACATCTAATTGTAATAGGTTAGCATGCACAAACCTTCTCACTCTTGCTCGCAGAGAGGGATTTCTGCTGTCAGAAGAGGTCCGTCCGTCCGTCCTTCCTACCTACCTATTCCTGGGAAGGAGAATGGGTGCAGCAGTGATATGAGAATGTCACCCAAATGGTTAGGGCCAGGAATTGCAGGGAATATTCCATTCATGTTGTTTGTGTGGGACAGTAGTGGTGGTGGAAAATAATTATAATTTCATGATATTATTTCTATGTGTGTTGAACCTTTCCTTGCAGAAAACTGCAGAGCTGTTTCTTGGCTGTGCAAGTTTGGAGTATCCTAGGCGGGTTGGAGGAGGAAAGAAGGAATTTGAGAACTGCATGCTTGCTATTGGGTGCCCTATGTTTATGTATTCCATAAAGTGCTCTTGGGTGTGTCCTTTTTATTCCCTCAGGTCATGCTTGACTCTTGGTCTTCTTGGCAACAGAACAGCAGTGGCTTCTCATTATCTTTGGAGATGCTCTTTTTAATGCCTAATTTACTAAGCAAATCCTGCCCTGCTTAGCTTTTCTTGAGACTAGGCCGAGTTTTTTAAATTTATTCTTACTCTTTGCTGTGCATATTAAATACAAATACTGTGTGACTGAAAGCAGGGGGAGCAAATTCAGTAACTGAAAAAATTTAAGGGGGACGATTCACTACTTTTTAAACACATTCCTGCTCGTGTGCTGTATTCTGATTATCAGTCCCCATCATGGTTGCTACTCACATTAAAAATGTATACATGTTAAATTTATGTATATCATTTTGTTTCTTGGCTAGATTTATAACCTGCCTTTTCCCCAGTATATACTTTTCCTTTGTTCAGTTTT